TAATTGCCCGAAAGGAAATTTTATTTTCATAATTTTTTGTTTTTTTTGGTAAATGTATTCCCTAATGTATCTATTTTTACCTTCACTTGTCTGTCTATGGTTTCATGTAGTAGCGCAGGTTGTTAGCTTGAAGCTTTAAACATAATTAGGTCAAAATCAAAACAAATTTTTGGCACGCGTACTTTTATTTTCATAGCCAACAGCGGCGTTGGTAACTGCAGTTGTTTTGCAAACAACAATTACATTTAGATGGCATACGGCCATTAGCACATATAGGCAGATTTTGATGTTAACATGTGTCTATATGTATGTGGTGTGTCTGCATTTCTTGAGAAAATATGTCAAATAGCGAAACTGGTAATGTAAGTCTTATGTAAAAAGTTGGTAATACGCACCAGTGCGCCACTTCGGCGAAAGCATCACTTATGCTCTACCGTTTACTTGGCGTTAGACAAGTTAACACTTAAACGGTAAGTCAGCAGGAAGCACACTTCCTTTCACTTTTACTTGCCTATCATGTAACGCTTTGCATAATAGCATAATATTTATATTCGGTTTTTATGGATTTGCCATCAAGACATTAAACCATTAAACCATTTTCATTTTCATTTCCATCTCGATTTCGATTTCGATTCCGATTTCAAATGCTGATGTTAATATGCAAAAACTCTTAAATATGCAAATTTTCATTGAAATCATCGTAAAGGCGTTTGTATAAATATTATTTTTTTTATTTAATTTTATTTTTATTTTCTTATACTTACCGGAATAAGTCAATATGACGTGATCACCACTGTGATTAGTGAAACGTGTCCAATAGCAAATTGTGAACTGATTTAATTCTGGTACTTCATTATTATATCTGACGGTGCCATCATAGTTGAAGGCATATTTTTTGACCGAACATTGCTCCTTAATCATAAAACAAAAGAAATTTTACCACAAAACTTTTACCTAACATATCATATCAATAATTAAGTATGGCATACCTTGCCAAAAGAGCTGCCACCTGCAGCAGCGTCAAAACTATCATCATAACCAAAATGTTCATCATGGAAACTGAATGGTACAGCGCCGCCCACACTACTTCCGGCATGACTGTTGCCCAATGTAAAACCTATATCCGATGTTGCGGACAGTTCTTTACTCTCATGTGAGTTCGAGGAGAATATCTTGCTTTCGCCTTCAGGATGCGATTGCTGCAGAGCAAATGATGTTGCATAGGCTGCACCCACTATTGGTTTCCAGGCGTAGCATAAATTCAAGGATGACAAAATATTTACGCTTATCCAACAAATCGAAGCTACCGTTAAAAAACTCATTTTCGTACGTCGCAACATAACGTTTAATTTTAATTTTTTATTTTTTTTTCTTTCTATAAGTTCAATTGCACAATTATTTATTTATTTATTTTAATAGTTAATTTATTCATATATTTTGCTAGCACTTGTACGTCTGCACGTCGCGGCGTCTCATAGTTAACTGTTCGCTTCTTCGAGTTGAAGTTTGTGGCATTTGCGCATGCGCAACTTTGACTCAAAGTAATTCAAACGAAACTTTTGATTTGAAGTGTTCAGCTTTTCCCGCCATTCAACGCCCATAACCCAGTCGTAATGCAAACTCGTAAATAAATAAATAAAATATTGTATATTTACGAAAAATATATCGCATTTTGATTTTTATGTTAATAAGGTTTTTTAATTTTTTGTTTAATAATTTATTAATATTTTTTCTGGTTCAACTTTTTTACGGTTATTGTTACAATCAATAAATCCAAAGCAGCGACTTGGCCCATTGTTGGGGTTTTGTAACATTTGGTCATTGAGCACGCAGCGGTTAATTGGGTGATATGCAAAACTGTTAAGGCGTGAAGCCGATACATTCACTTTCAAATTTCTATTTAAAGATTCTTTGTAAAATTATTATAAATACATAATAGCACATGTAACAAATCGTTTAGCATTGCAAAGCCCCATACAAATGCATGTCAATTATGGATTAAAATTTTTTATTCGCTGTTATGATTTTCTATTTTTTTTTTGCTAATTCGCAGTAATTGCCAGCTGATATCAAAGTTACAATGTCACAGTTCACTGATTCGTAATTAGATTGTCTTATTAGTATTCAAAGTTTACACAATTAACACACTTTACACCATTTCAAGATTTATTTTATTAGACTAGTACAAAATAATATGAGGAGTGTTTCTTAAACCGGCTCATCATAACAAATAAATCGCACTAGAGAGAATAAATCGCACTAGTACCTTACATATTAATTATTAATAAGTAAGAGAAATTACATTTTCTATATATTTTAATTGCAATCATGGTCAATAACTAGTTGCTGATATGAGGCATTCAAGAAGTTTCTTTATTAGTAGAATGCAAAACCAGCAATGAATTATAAAATCATTGAACTAAACAGTACGATTTCTTACAAGCTAATATTCAAATTTTAATTACAGCGTGTAAACACCATATCAAATCAATATTGGCTTAATTTAAGGTTTTGATTATATGTATAAATTTTGAATTAAATAAAAAACTTTGTGTAAAAGTATGTTATCTATAATAATATGTATATATGTATACGAGTTACAAATTATATTTTCTTTTTAATAAAAAATAAAACACAACCGATTCATTTGATTCGTCTCTATTGAATTGATAGGATGAGTATAATAACTTATATCTAAACCTTAAGATCTTTGTTGAATTAAGGTCTTTATTGAATTAATAGGATGAGAATAATAACTTATGTCTAAACCTTAAGATCTAAGCATCACTTCCAGCTTTGCTTTGGACTTATGTTTACAATAAAATAGAAGCGTTGCTTTCAATTGAGATTATGTTTTTATTAAAATAGAAGCGTTGATTCGAATTGAGATTATAATTACGTTACATTAGAAATGTACAATTATGTATATATACTATGAGTCATCACTCCATAAGTTTATATAACATATAAATAAGAAATAGAATTTTATTTGTCAAAATGCTCTCCTTCAAGAGTAAAGTATTTACATCAAGTAAAAGCTTTAACATTTTAATACAACGTCTTTGCGTTTGAGCTAAATTTCTTTATATCTAAGAAAAGCCAGTAGTTAGTGGCACCACATCTGGAATATACACTGGTCGGGGAAGCAATTCAAAGAGTAATTTGTTTAATTAAATCAACCTTTTTATTCAACCTTTTCCTATTATTTCTGAGATGTGAGTTTTTTGTACATAACTTAAGTGTTTTGTTAATTATTTTATGGGCTTTTTATATTTCACGGCATAAAACGATTTTGGGCGACCAGAGCGTTTAGTATTGTCGGTGTTTATATGATAACGTTAAAACTTAGTATATCAGGCAATAATAGTTGATTTTCCTGTAACATCTTTATAACTCTTATCAACAGTATTTTTTTACTTAAAAAAGCAATGTTTTATGAACACACCAAATAAATTTTTATCCATTTTTTTGAAAATTACATATCTGTGGTCACAAATATCATGTTTCCACTTGTCACATTTATGCATTATACATTGTGACCGAAAAGTTTCCGGTCATAAATAAATAAAACGCAAAATTCTTAATCTTCATCAATATTTATTTTATCTCCTTCAAAATATGCTCCATTAGAAGCGATACACAAATGCCAACGTTTCTTCCAATCATAAAAACATTTTTTATAGGCGCTTTCCGGTATGGCTTTGAGTTCCCTCTGCGAATTCTGTTTTACGTCTTCTATGGATTCAAAACGCGTTCCTCTGAGTGGTAATTTGAGGTTGGGAAACAGGAAAAAGTCACACGGTGCAAGATCAGGTGAATACGGTGGCTGTTCGATGGTATTTATTGAATGTTTGGCCTTAAAATCGTTGATAATGTTGAACAAATTGAGGTGAATCGGAACAAGCCGGGCGTTGACACGTCGCATACACAAATTGTCCACCAAAATCAAACGAGCCATCTCACGACCGATGCCTAGCTCTCGTGCTATCTCTCTAACACTCACATGAGGATTTTTGAACACGATTTCCTTTGCCTTTTCAATGTTTTCGTCGGTGGTAGAGGTCGAAGGTCGTCCAGAACGCGGCATGTCTTCGACGGTCGTACGACAGTCCTGAAAGGCTTTGTACCACTCATAAACTTGAGTTTTCGATAAAACTGATTCCCCATAAGCCTTTTGTAGCATTCGCAACGATTCTGCACACGAAATTTCGTTCGAAAAACAAAATTTGATGCAAACTCTTTGTTCAATATTTTTTTCCATTGTTTTTTTCGCAACGCACTACTGAGGTGAACTGGTTTCAACAGCTGCCGTAAACGAACTGTCCTGACAGATCGCGCTCATTTTTGGCAATATAATTAAGGGACAGTGCTGCCAAACTACATAAACTTAAAATATCGAAAAATATACAGCGCGCGAATTTTAAATGAGAACCTCCGAAAACCTTTCGGTCACAATGTAGTTCATTAAGATCGCTAAACAGGTTAATTTACGATACAAAGAGCTTTCACATAATTAAACTCATTATAAATAAATCAACTGAGTTAAGGCTAAAAATGTCGAATACAACTCTTATAAAATTATTTTTCGCAAGGGAAATTATTAAAATTTGAATTATTTTTCATATGTTTTATATGTAAAATGTAAATAAACGAGCATGTGAAATAAATACATAAATCAGCTTATGCCTATGGAAACGAACGAATTTTAATTTCATTAACATAAGTATTTGACGGTACAGTGGAACATGTTCTCACTTTATAAATTTTTAAATGAAATCATTTGGTTTCTGTGAGACGTAGCAACACACGCAGGGTAGAGGTAGTTTTGTTTTATAATTTAGTGATCTTCTTTATGTAAAATTTTATCGGGGCTAGGCGAACATCTTTCTCAATACCTTTGGCTTGTACCACCATTTTTTTCTTTTTCTTCTTCTTTTTCTTCTTCATTCCATTATGTTCCTAGGGGAACATTAGGCCATTACAATTGTACCTAATGAAGAGATTCTGTTTTAACTTGAGTTTCGCATCTCCAAATCCGTTGTGCGTGCTGCCAAAGCAGGTAGATTTACCGTATATGTACGGATACCACTTGGAGACAGTAATTCCATTGGGTTTAGAGTTATGTTTTATTTCCAGAAAATAGTTAAAGAAGAATGCAAAGCCCTGAAGATGGGTTACAAGCCCAATCTCAGTCAAGTAAGCTTTGTACACACTGACAGGTCACTTTTAAATATTAATAACCTGGTTTCTACGTATTTGCTGGACCTCCTCACCACATCAAGGTGGCAGTCCCCGAGGAGCATTACGTACTAAGGGGTATTGAAAATCCGCTTAAGAATGGTATTTTATAATGACTATAAGTTATTTAACGTTAACTTGGGCGCTTGACAAAAAGTTATAGAATTGTTATAGAATTACATTAATTTTAATTAGAGTTGAAAAATAATGTATTATTTTGTTTTTTATAGTAAGACTTGCATGAAAGTTGTATTGAAATTGTACTAATTGAAAGATATTCAGATTTTCATATGGAAAACTTGTTAGTATAGAGTTAACTATAATTTATAATTTAGAAATTTCTTTAAACAAGGTATCAGGTTTGGAACTTAATAATTTTTCAAAAGAAAACCACTTTATAAGTGTTTTTAATAAAATTCACTTCTTACATTACGAGTATTAAATTAATTTATTTTTACAAGTATGTCTGCTTTCGTAAACTTAATTCAATTTAGACCAACCCAATTTTTTTGGAACTTGGTATGAAGTAATAAAATTGGTTGCTGTAACCAAACTGGCTGAAAAGTGTCTTTTATATTGCTAAAAACTATTTTTTATAAAAATATTATAATTTATTATAATAAAATTTTTTTTAAATCTAAGAAGTCTAGTAGCAAAACAGTGATACTCTAAATATACTTGTGAATTAAATTATATTCAAGTAGTTTCTTCAGAAAGCAAGAAATCTTCTAATGACTTCATCTAAAAAATATTTATTTATCTCAACTAAAATTTAAGTTTTAATATCTTCAACTATTTCCTTTTTACAAAAATAAAAACTAAATGTAACAAACGTTCAATGATAAATGAAAGGAATAAGGGAGCAGTGGAAGATTTTCTTTACTTTAAATTGATTGGATTTTATTTGTGTTTACAAAAATTATTTTCATTCTAAAATATTAAATGTAATCCGTCTTTATTGAACCACAGACAATAGATTATTTCACAGTATTAAGTTTAGAGGATTTTCTAAAATATAAAATTACAGTAAACGATTTACAAATTGAATTCGATTAAAAGTTGCATTTTAAAATTAATAACATTTTCAACCCTAAATCGATTGCTTGCATTTGCGACAACAATGGAATATCCTGACATGGTTACTCAAGCGAAGTCCTTTTCTGAAATTTTTAATCTTTTGTGTTGGAAGAGATGAACTGTTGTGTTAAAATGCATTGATTTTATGGATCAATGCTCAAATATAAAATCTAATAATTACGATTGTACATTTCAACTGCAACCAAACAAAATTCAATTAAGATTAGTTAAGTCCTTAATAATAATTTTTTATTTTTGATGTAAATCGGTGATTCGTATAATTTGTAAATATACTTTAAAGTAATTTTTTTATGCAGTATACAATACAGTAAAACGTCGTGTTAAATGAATTAGGAAGGATTAGCGAGGTAGTAGGAATAATTAGAATTTGAATGTAAATTGAAAATTATTCCAGACAATTTAAATAGTAAATAAAAATGGTTTTTGTAGAGTTATATCTTTTTAATACCTTTTTATGTTATTAAGACTGATTTATTTTTTAACTGAAATTTGTTACAAATTTACACATTAGAGTAATATCCAATTTTACAAGTAAAGGAATAAATTTATTTTTTAATAAATATTTTTAGTTTCGAAAGTAAGTCAGCAACTTTAAAATAATAAATAATTTACATAAAAAAAATCAATGATTAAAAGATTTGATTGAATACTAGAGACTTATAGTGAATTTCAATACAGAGAGACAATAAGTTTTTAGGATAAAGTCAATTTTAAAATAATCAAAAGAAAGAAATGAAACCTTAAAAGATTTTCCATAAATACTTAAGGTTAGGTTAGATTGGATTGGCGGCTTTGTGTACCAAGAAAGCCTGGTTTTGTTTAAATAATGGCCCATTGTGGTACCACAGGAATAGCGTTGATTCGTACATAGACAAGGTGCTCAGTATACGACCAACGCAAAAAAAGGCAACGATTCCCCCATTAGGTGAAGGTAAACCAATCTGACAGTTCTGTGAATCTCCCTAAGTCCCTAATAGTGCATGACGACAGCTCAGTCAGAACGGACAGGAAAGAGGCCCCCTAAATTTTTGTTCTTCTCCAAATATTTAAGACTTATAAAGAATTTTAGTAAAGCAAAAAAAAATATTTAATATAATATAATATGATCTGTATAATATAATCTGTATATAATCTGTAATTGTTCAGTGACGTTTCGGGCTTTCAGTGAAGAAGCGATTTTAGTTATTTTTTTAGGTATATAATCCATTGCTACTTAGTGACATTTTTAATAAAATGTAGACTATATCTATGCTATTGCTATTCTTCCATTTTATTCTTTTATTATACCTGCAGTGTCTTTAAGCATTTTTTTTTCTACTATTCATGTTGATAATCTTGGATCGTGCCAAATTTCTTTCTCTAATTTTTTTTTGTTTATTGACTACTGAACTCCAAACTTTATATTGAACTCCTATAAAACTATTATTGATCTTAAAATATTATTTAAAACAAATAAAATGATTACTATTCTAACTAATATTATTAAACATTATATGTCAAGTATTTATAATAATTCACAAGATCTCAGAAATAACTTCACATGATTCAGAAATGATCATAAGAAATTACTTAACTTTAATAACTTATGCATTTAATAGACGTAGAAAGCTTATAAAAAAATAATACTTTTCTTTTGCAGTTAATCCCTATTCATTAAAGTAATTCCGCAATATTCTAAGGAATGCCTTTATTAAATATCTTTTAATACTTCTTACTTCTTATAGTTACTGCATTATAAATTTGCTTCTTGACTGTACTTATGGAGCTTCATAGATTTATAAAATCCAATAAATTTTATCCATTATTGATTTGTTAAACTTTCTTAATAGTCTGATGACAAATTAAATATTTTATAAACTTATTGAGTCTTTGTTTGGTTAAAGTATTAGAATTTAATCTGTCCACAGATAGTATTTATTACTCAATTTATATATAATCATATGACTTTAGTGCAAAAACTCACATTACTAAATATGGAAAAGAACATTTTTCCACTTCGACAAATATATACAAACAATATTAATAAAAAAAATTAAAGTCTTGTTAGAGTTCACATAATCTTTCATCATATAGTATTTAATAATATAGATGCTCCATATTAACGACCAAATTATGGTCATGCTATTGCCAGCTATGTAATAAAGTAATATCAACATTAAAGGAAGTCACTGTTCAAAAAAAAAAAAACATTGAAATCCAATTTTCTCTTGAAGTACTGAATTTGCTTATTATATTATACAATCTGTATATATATATTAAATTTTTAATATTCAATTTCCTACTACTCTGCCGAATTGACCTGCATAATATTAGTACAACGTAATCTTTAAAAAGGGTTCGAATCTAGTCTACAATAAAATGCATCCTATAAAAATGTCAATATTATTCTTTTGCTATTTTTGTGTAGTTAATCCTAGTTAATCTTATTTAGGGCTGATACAATCCAAAAAATTTTAATTAGAATTTTTTAAAAGTTGATAATAGACTCCAATAGACTCTAAACGATGCTTCGGATGATATATTGTTAAAATACTTATTTTAAGAATTACTTGATAAAATATATCTTTGCAAATGTCTCTCAATTTGGAGACAAATATATTAATTACAAATCAAATTAGAATTTTCTAAATACTGACAAAATTCTAAAATGTGGCATAAAGTCAAGTTAACTGTCAAATGACTAATGCCGAACGTTATTGAAGCAACAACTCTGACTAGAAAGTCGAAAGAAAGTCTTCTTGGTGGTGATGAAAGTATTACGTATTCCTTTTATTTACTTGGGTTATAGACCAATTCAATAGATGCCTTAAAATATATTGCTTTTAGATATTTTCAAAATTTAAGAACTATTTTTTTTTTAAATATCTTAATAGTCTAGTGGAATAGTACTAAATAGTATAAAATAGTAAGTACTAAAAATAGTACTAAAAACTTTTTGTTTCACACAGATTTATCTCTGTTCCACCAATAGTTGCACAGGTGTCATGACTGTAGTTTCGTTTTATAATCCATACTTAAGATCGTTGTTCGGCTACCAGAGCCAACTCGATTTTGCATTTTGTGGAAGAATTTTCTCTTATTAATAAGTTGTTCCCTATCCACTGATGAAAATTCTTTAATAACGTTATTTGATTATTACTTATTTTTTTAAAAAAATATGTAGGAGCCTAAAAAAAAATTGTCAAAAAAAATGCTGATCTCATTTGAAAGTGCAGTATCTTAGGGCAACAATAGAACTTTTGAAGCATTAGGAATTTGATTATGACCATTGTTACCAACCTGAACATAACATTTGTTACATTAATATTTTTTATTAAGTTAATATAAATAATTTTAATTCCATAACTTGAAGAGTTTTTTTTCAAAATTGATTTTTAGTACATAACAATATTATTAAAGAGTTTGGCGTTTCATTTTAGTTTTTATTTGGGAAATGTTAAACAAATGATAAATAACAAAACTGTAGTTTCTTTGGATTATGAGTTTAAGTTTATGGTCATATATGGAACGAATTATACCATATTTGACCATCGCAAAGTTGCGTAAGCCTATGAAAATAAAACTTGAATTGAAATCTGTGATCCTTAAATAGGTTTATATGATAACGTTAACATTGTATGATATAATTTTGAACTAAAGTTCAAAAAGTGATTAATTGATTAATGATCCAATAAATTAGTAATTAGTGTCCTAAAGACATTAGTATCAAGTTTTAGAATGTCGATATGTGCTTTAAATATATCAAAGATTTATAATATTTTTTTTTTGTGAAGAAACATCATATGACACATCATTGACTTTTGGAATAAACTTGTGCCATGTTCAAGGTTAATATAGCAAAATCCAAAAAAACTATTTTCTCACAGAAATAAGATATGTTTTGCTAAATTTAGCAATATCCATAAAAAAATTATTTTTGACCAAATCAAATCAATTGAGAAATATGGCAACACGTTGAACTCGCACACGTAGCACTTGACGGGGGGCTTGTGGAACAACAACAAAATTTGTAGAACTTATATAATTTGTATAAATTTAATAGGCGCGTACTTGAAACGCCATAAAATGCGTTATTTCAGCGATGAAAAAACCATAAGATATTTAAGTTAAAAAGTGAAATCCTATAGTTATTACAGGCTTCGATTGCCAAGTTCATTTGGCAGTGATTGATGGACGGTAATCTCGTCTACTTGTTGCCAACATTACAAAGTACTTAACGGAACTGACCGTCCCAAGATGTGCGAGTGTGAAGCTCATAAATAATCAATGGTAATTTTGATTAAATAAAAAGATACATGCAAATAAGTGTTTCGCGAAACAATAATAATTTATGCACTGAAATGTGTAATACAAAGTAATTAAAAATATATGTACGGCTATGTAAAAATCGTAAGCGAAGTTGTATTTACTTTTCTGGTAGTAAGAAAAAATATTATTTGTAATTATCACGTAGCAATTAAATTAATATGCATTGATTTATGGTCAATTATGGCTTCTGGCTATGAACCGCAAATGGCTTGAATTGTTTAAAAAATAAAAAGTGCAAAAATAAAATGTGCAAAAATAAAATATTGCAATTTTTTTTGCCTTTTTAGTTTAAGATGCCATGAAACCATAGTACATGCATTTTATGAATATTTTATTTTAATGAGCGATAAGCACAATTTTACATATATTATTTATTGCTGTACTAAGTCACTTTTATAACAATGTGTAACTCTTATTTCAGATTGGCAAGCAGGCACCTTATTATGTCGGTGCATCGCAGACATTACCCAGAGGCATATACTCGGATCGTAATAAAGTGACCATAGGTAATTAAAAAAAAAAATTAAATGCTTTGAATTTAAAGTTCCTTTAGTTATGTTCTGCATGTCATTCTTTTATAATGTTTTATAAAGTTGTTAATTTAATGTTAATGTGGCGACAATAATGTTTAAGTTTAATACCTCAACTTACAAGAACTAATTTATGTATTTGCTCTTTGAACTGATATATTACTATTTAATTTATATAGATTATATAGATAAATTAATATGCTATTAAAGCATATTATGTTCTAAAATAAAGAAAAATATTAACATAACCTGTTATTGTATCGTTAGATACTTTTTTATAATTTAAATGAAAGAATTGACTTAGATTATTATAGTATAGTGATCTTAGCAATCAATTCAGACATATACCGCAATATGTCTCTGACCTTAAAAACGCAGATGATATAAAATAATTTTAAGTCTTTAAAAATGTGATTACAGTCTTCTTAGGTTAGGTTAGGTTGAAGTGGCAAATTTATTATACCAAAGCCCACTTAAGCACAAATAACGGCTCGTTTCATACTATGGATGAAACAATTCATACGCTAGACGCAAAGGACCACCCTAAAGACAGAACTCGAAGTATCAAGTTCACGATTTCTTTGAGAAAGTGCTATTTTTTTATTCAAGTAAACCAGCTTGAAAAATCTATGAACTTGATGATGTCACAAATTTTAAAGAATGAGAGTTCTGTTAGGTCGGAGGTACTAATTGATAGAAATTGATATATGAGTTATATAAATATACATGATATATGAGTTCACGAGCAGAGTAATAACTTTAACAGAACATCCCAAATTTTAAATATGGGAATTTGAAATACGTTATGTTAAAAAACGAATAATTAAACTGAGTTAAGATAAATTCAGATTTAAATTTTTCATTGTCTGTTTTCCTGATGCGTTTAGTATCAAGCTATGGCATCTGTATGCAACTTGACTACACACCAATAGAAGAAAATCAAACTCTCTCATAGAGATGCCTCATATAAATATTAGTTTTACAGTAGGTTTACAGGTTATTGTTTTCTAGGTTACCATGTTAGGAGACTAAATCGCCCTTTCACGGTGAGGACGATGAAAATGTCTCCCACCTGCTTTGCTTCTGTCAGGCACATACACGGCGCCGCCTTAACACTTTAGGGGCTTTCTTTTTGGAGGATCCACAATAAAAGGAATATTGTTTGTGAGAGGAATATTGTGTCGGCATTTGATAGCTAATATGAAACACGCGATTACTTGATGTCCTTAATATTCACCCATATTATTGTAAAAATGTTTTTAAATCCTAAGGCAATTTGAGAATACCCACTTCCCATATATACTTTATGAGCGAAGTTTTAGTTTATCACTTGCAACTGTAGTAGTTTCTATACAGCAAAAGCAAACGAGTGGTCGGGTCTAAATTCCGAAGTCAATTCTTTATGACAAACAACTTCCGCTCGAAACTACCGTTAAAGTTCTACCATTCGCAAAAATAATAAAACAACACAAATAATAGAAACACTAAAGACAGTAACTAAATAGAGCCAATGCCATTCGTTCCTTGAGAGCTCCTAAAAAATGAATTTATTTTTAATAATCAATAAAAGATCAAATAAACTATGAAATATATTCAGTTACAAAATGTTGAGGTATTAGCTTAAAATCATTAAATTTTAATATATTATGTACCTAAGAAGTATTTAATATTTTGTTTAATATATTGTTTTTAAATACGTACCATGTAACAATGTAAAAATATGAAATGTGTGTAATTTTCAATGCTACGTTAATACGTAAGGAGCGCCAGTAAAACCCTTAAGATCACATAGCTCAAGGGGTAGCATGGAGCCCTTATTTCCTTATCCCCCGGATCAATTATACAGTATCCCAGGTACTTGTTATTGTACTTGCACTTTATATTGTATTAAAACATACTTTATAAAATTCTATATAAAAGCAACAAAATAACTGCCTTATATGTATGAATGAGTTCCATTTGTTCCAATGTAATCAATTTTATATGACAGTAGAAAGTTTTTTAGTTACAAAATTGCTTAAAAATTAGTATGAGTGTAAATAAATATTTATTATACCATATTTATGTTAATAAATAATAAATAGCAATATAACATTATAATATGTATAACAATTTGTAGATGGATACTCAAGTTCTCCAGAACGAAGTTCACGTGGTAATTATGAGGAACCTTATTATAGTCAATATGGCACTAGAGCTTCTGTTGTTGCACCCATTATAGATGAAGAGCAAAGGTTTGTTTAATGTCAGCTGTTTTTTTATTAATATGTTATTAAATGTTTTATTTTTATTTTATTATCCTAGTGATGTTGGCATAGCTGAGGATCAATATGCACTTTATGGTATGAAAGTCGGACCGAGCCGTATGCCAAGAACAAGTCAAATGTATGATCCAACAAGGTAATAAATATTTTACAACATTTTCATATTATATAAATATTAATGTAAAAATAATTGTTCCTTAGCATCAGTTAAAAATTAGAAGAGAAAATAAACTTTATGTATAGGTTTTAAAAATTTGAAGAATAAAGATTATAGTATTATAGTCTATAGATTATAGATAGATAATCCTTATTAAACGTTTAGTAATAAACAAATGAAATTGATACAAATTACTTTTTATGTATATAAATTAAGCATGTGGGACTATCAAATTTCAATAAGGATAATAAGTGTTTTCAATAAGGAATATTAACTTCATTATCACCACTCTTAACTCAAACCGAAGCATAAGATTTTCTTATATTTTCATAAAATCAATGGCTATCTAAAGTCTTTGCTTGCTCCTTATTTTTATGGAATATTACTTCAGAGTGTAATGGAAATTTAGCTGTTATGTAGTTTATAGATATAGGTATGACTATCTATAAGTGTTTTTACATGCTTAATGATTATCTAAAGTAGTGTTTCTTTAAAACGTCGCTATGATTAAGATATATAATAATATATTCTAATATATATATTATTTATATTTAATACCAAGTTATATTTTATTAAAAAATTTTTCCGATATTTTGACTATCTTCGATAGTCATCTTCAGTAAATGTGGAATTCAAATTGAATTTTGGTATTGTTAATACCCATATGGGTGTCTCTTAGTTGTTCCCAGAGGTTGCAAAACCGAAAAAACAGACCAGGAAAAGATAATTTTGTCACTTATAATTGTAAAAGTAAAAAAAGTGAGCCATTAGATAATACGATAATACGAGACTGACTTCTTTACTTTCACCGAACGCTCTTGTATTATTTTTATAGAGAAGGTTGAGTACAGTAATTTTTTAAAACCTTAAGTGAGGCGTACTCCAAAAAAGTAAAGAAATGATGAATTAAAGTCTTCTACGTTCTTAACTATGCTATGATTTCATATATTTCTTTAGAAGTACCACTTATCAGGTTTTATACTTATATAAAATGCAGCATTGCATTCCATGCGATTAAAGAAACGATTTATGTGTCATGAATATATACACCAAGTATCTCGTTTCATATCCATGACAAAATATGGCCATGATACAATCTGATAATAATATTGCTATGAAGCTAACCTAAGCTTATTGCAATAGAAAACCACTTAATGTGTGGTAATATAAAGACCAAAGAATTGCTAACCTTTTTGTACATTTAACAAAGTCAAACATGTTTTTTGCAGAAATATCCTGTATTTGTCTGAGATTTTTTAAAATTTAAGTCCCTATTATAAAATGGTGATATACGTTTCACTTCAGTTCTATTTTCAACTTTCTGAATTTTATTAATAATACATACCTACTGTATGATATGATACCAACTGTATGAGTTCTATACTTTATTTAAGCATTTAGAAATGTATCTTATAGTGTGCATTATATATAAAAAAGTTTGAAAGAACACGTACAATTTCGTTCTACGTTTGGAGAAAAAAAAACCAATTAAAACTATCAGCTTTCAAAATTTCTTTAAAACATTTTAATAAATTAATTTTTTATGTAATAAATTAAGCTCTATTCTCTTTGTAACCACTTATAAAGTATTCTTAAACATATTTTTTTTTGTTTGAATAGTTCTTAGAATATTCGTTGTTCTTAATTGTATTTTAATCAAAAGTTGTATCAAGACTTATTATTCTTGGTAGTATTATATCGTCTTCCAAATATCTTCGACTACGGCGATATATTTTTATACGTTTCACGCCTCTATTGACTGTTGTTGTCTGGGTACTAGCTACTGGATGAAAATACGTGGTACCTGGAATAAAATTTTTAAAATATTATTTCCAACATATTTAGTTTTGATGTACCTCACCTTTGCTTTTAATGCCTTGAACAATTAAGCACAACAGGTAACCCCCAAAGGACATGAATGCCAAAGCAGTTATACTAATTTGGAATAAAGTTTGCAGTTTTGATGGCTTTTCGGGTTTCCATGGGTGGTGTTCATCAGGATATCCTACCCTTAAATGTTTAAGTACTAGTTTAAAGTAAGGTAATAGGTACACTTCTAGATAAAATTATACCTACAACATATAGTATAATTTGACAAATCTTTGTAATTGTTTTTAATATAAAACTTTAAGGATTTTAATGACTCACATAAACCGAATATTAGAGTTTTCACAAGGCTTCAATTTATTTTATGATAAATGCAGTATAATTCATTACATACTTATCTATTTGATGTAAGCCTATTTTTAATTTAAAATTTTGAGGTGTTGTTTAATATTAAAATTTAAAAGTTAATTTGTGGAATTGTGTCCATATTGGTTCTTAATTACTTTCAAAGCATATATGATTAGACTATATCAATATTAATTAGTGCGAAATATCAAATATCAAGAACATATTATATATATGTTATATACGTGTTATAAGATATGTTATAATATATACGTTATATATTATATATAGTATCAAAAAATTGTTACACTTCTTAACTTATTGATGTGTGGATTCTATGAAAAGAAATTAAAAATGAGTGTTGAGTTATATTTCCCTACAGCTGAATAAATTTTTATTAATTAAATTAAAATTTGTTCGTTTCCATTGGCATAAGTTAATTAATGCATGTGAAAGAGTTTTTATATGTTAGAAAGTTCTAGAAAGTTAGAAAGTTGTTTTGTATTGTTAGCAGAAATTAATTAATTGATCATAGTAAATCAGAAAATGGAAAAAATTTTGTGTATAATATTTATTTATAAAAGAATTTTGTTTTTTATTTATTTATATTTTGTTTCATGTCTGAATTATGACAAATTTGCATTTGACATTTTTGCGTAGTTTTCCTTGATTTACTCTTAGCTAAGTTAAAAAGCACGAAATCTCTTTGTAACATTAATCAAATCACACTAACGACCTAAATCAAACAAACTGCTTTAACAAAGGCAGTGGGAACGTACTATTATATATCGCTTACGTTCTCACTATATTATATGTCGCCAAAGTGCCTCTATATAATTGTGAAAGAAAAAATATTTGTAATTAAATCTTGTAATTTTTATATAAGTATTTAAATGTATTCTTGCCAGCAAATTGATATTGAGTTTCATCATAACGGAAATTTAAAATGACTGTATTAATTTCAATTATTTCAGTTATTTTCCAAAAATGCGGTTATTTATCAATATTAATAAAATCAGGTGAAATATTTAACAATATCATAACTTTCAAATAAATATATTTATATAAGCCATTTCATGACTACATTTTTATTTTTTTATTAATTACTATTAACTATATTTTTGTTGAAAGCTTGCAAGATGAAAGCATTTTTATAGCATTTTTAATGTAATTTACTAAAAATATTCATTAGTATATAAAAAAAGATTTTAATGAAAATAAAACACTACATTTTTATACAACTTGAGATAAATTGATTAGACAGCGGCACGCATATAAAATCTTTCCTTAAGGCCTCCATTGATTGCATCAAAAAATGTAAACATGATTTTTTTAATTAAATGTGTTATAAAGTCAGGAGTAATCAAGTTTAATCACTTCACAAAGTTTTTATTTCTTCAACTAATTTTCAACTACGGTAGTTGTATTAATAATTATAAGATTACACCTAATATCCAACAAGTTCAGTGTATTCCTAACCTGTCTTTTATTTTATTGACAGTGTTTTTAACAAAATTTTTACTTAAATTTTCTTTTGAAAACAAGAAATGACATTAGCTTTGATTTTTTCCAAACTTGTATATTTACATACAAAATCTTGACTCTTCGACTTATAACCATTTTCAGCGATTTTTCTGCATAGATGATATGGTATATGATATTTAACAGATTTCCTTTTTAAATAAATTACTTTGATGTTCAAAAAGTCTTTGTCTAAAGTCTAAAGAAAAGCTCAATATTGTATAGATCAGTTTACATTTTTAACAGATAGTCCAAGAGATAGAACTACAGGGCACACTGAAAAACGTATCGGATGCGTTTCCCGAAAGTGCCAATTTTGATGTGCCCGTGATATTCTACTTAACGTGGGTCTTACGTCAGGTTAAACTGTTAGATAAGCGGATACCTATAAGGGAATATATCATTACTTGCTTTAGATATTGCATACTACTTAGTATATTTATCAGAGAAGGACCATTATTGGGGATGAAAGCTATTTTAGTCATAAATACATTTATATTTTTATGAACATTAGTAGTAATCATAACATAATAAACTAATTATAATAATAACGAACCCAAGTGTATAGTTGCGATTCTAGCTCAGAGGGAACAATCGCATAACAGGTGTTTTAATATATGTTTTTCGAACAATATAAAGAATCATCTATAAGGCAACTACAAGAGTCTTAATAAGAACTCAAAGAATACATTTTATACAATTTTTAAATCCAATTAAAATTTTAAAATCATGAATAAATATTTTTTATATATTATTATCATTATATTATTATTATTATAATTATAATAATTATATCACTATTAGCATTTACTCAATATGATGATTATATCTTAAGCATCTCATATTTTTCAAAATTATTTCACTATTGAGTGTTTTATTTTTTGGTTAAAAGGTTTCGAATAGAAATTAAAAGACAACAACAAAAAATTTTGTTAATTTTCGAGTATTGCCAAGTAATCATCATAAGTGGTCTTAGGAAATATTCGAATGTTTTGAATTAGTTTATAGCACGTATATAATATTTTTTTATAATATATTTTGTTTCTATGTCAAGTACTAAAATGATATCACTTTTCGATATGTTCTTGAATTCCAAAGTTTTTGCACTGATATATAATTTTTATAGAATTTAGTCTTTTTAACAATTACACTTGTTTCATTTATAAATGTGTGTTTTGTATAACATATTTTGAACTTATATATTTTAAAAATATATATTGATTTATTACCGGTCTTCTCCAACTAATGCCATTGCTTTAGGTCCCGAACAATCTTCTTTATCCTTAATTTCTGTTGAATTACTTAATGCTGCACTTGTACTATCCGTCGAATCTAAACTATTTGGTATAGATTCTAAAGACTTTTTTAAACGTAATAATTCCGAAAGTCGTAGGTTTACCAGGCAGGTTTGAAGAGTGTCCCTGTCAACAAAATCATTTAAAACCGACGCGTATAAATATTCCACTAAGCTGAAAAGCGATAGGCAATAAAAAATATATAAACTGTGAAACTGCATTGTTCTTTGTCACCGAAACTAGACTAACTATTAAATGGCAGCTTCATACTTTCTTAGCTAAGCAGCAAAAATTAAATGTCTAAAATGCAATGAATTTTCACACCTGAACGCCTCGCATTAGTTAAAAGTGAATTAAATTCATCAAAGACTTTATGCCACCGGCTCAGTTACACTGACAGACATGCACTTAAAAATCAAGAAAAGTAGTTCAAAGCTTTTTTGAACAAACAGAAAACCTTCAGTTTTCCAAATTTGTGCAATTGCAGAGTATCTGGGCTAGAACAGATAACAATGGAAAATTATAAAAACTAAAATATTTAATGCAATTATTTAATGCAATTTAATTTAACATTCTGTGAAAATTTGTAATGATATTATTGTTTTGTATTGTTTTGTTTTTTTTTATTTAGACCCGAAGATCTTCATCGCATACGCGTAGAGCATATGGAACGTCAATTGGCTAATTTGACTGGACTTGTGCAAAAAGCGTTGGTTAATCAAAACCCCCAAATTGCACCACTCACAGTGCCAACATTGGATCAAAACTATTTGGTTGTACCCACACAATGCCAAGGTAAGACCCATAATCACCAATGCAGTTTGCAATAATTATTATTGTTTGTTGTTAAATTTATCTTTGTGCACTTTGTTGGTTGAAACAATTTTCATAAACAATTAAAGTTCACTTAAAAAATGCATTCACGAAAATTAACTCACATACACTGCAAAAAAATTCATTTTAATTGTTTGCGTTGATTCACATCAAATTTAATATGTTCCAAATATTTTGATATAAAAAATTATTATGAAAAATATTCGCAAAGCACATATTTATCTGATATGCACCATTAGCAGTTATTGAACATTTAAGATTTTTAACATTAAAAACACTTTTTCACACACACACGAAATTATTATTGTTCATTATATTTTTTTAATTACATTCAATGGTCGAAAATTACTAAAACTATCGATAAAATTAAATGAGATTTTTAAATAGGTAAAATAATTAATATTTATAAAATTTTAATCCAATTATTTTTCGGGGTTTATTATTATTATTTATATTTTCTGAATACTTTCACAAGGACGGATAGTTTATAAATTCCGATTACATGATTGACACACCTACGTATTTCTTTGACTTATATACATATATGTATATATCTACACATCATATATGATTTGCACACAAATTCAGTATTATCTAAAAATTATTAGGTAATAGCCTATTACCTAAAATCCATCTTGCTTTTTTTTATTCATTTATTCTAATATTCCAATTTGTGCGTTAGATTTGGGCTTAGATTTTAGATTAATTCAAGTAACCATCAAATGCTTTTTAAAGAGACATTTCAACAGAAATTGTATAGAGATAATACTTACTGGAAGTACTAACCTCCCAGTAATATAGGTCAAAATTTCATGGAATTTAATTTTATTAGTTGACTAATTATCAAAACATATTATTTTAATATACTATGAAAAATCAAATCGAATAATTGGGAATAATTAAAGAGTAAGCATTGTAAGACATTTAAAGAACCAAAAAATCATCATCAAAACAAGATCTAGTTCAAGATATTAAGGGTATAAGTCTAATAAAATATGATGTGACCTCATAAAAATGAATGGTAGCAATTATAGGTAACAAAGTTCTGTAAAACGCAGCTTATACGATTTGTGTTAAATAAAAGATATTGGACAATTTAAATAGGTCTAATATTAAAAGAATTCAGAATAGAAGTTAGAAATAGAAATTAGAACAAATTAAATAAAAACGTAAATGTATGGGACCGGTATATTAAATATCCGAATTGACATATACTGATTGTATTCTCCAGACTCGGTAACATGACGTGCATGTAGATTTAATTTCTGAGCTGATACCCTTTTTTGATAGTTTTGACTAGTCAATCTATGTTATTATTATTTTTATGCTGGAAGATTTGTACTACTGTTGGAAAACCTATGATTTTACATGATGGAGTTTTATATCTTCATCCTTTGTGAGATGCTCATTTAGGTTCTTCTTTTTTTTGACATCAATGCCGCACAAATTCCCAACTGGTGATGTAATGATACCTCATTATTATTTTTCTTACATAACTATTTCTTACAAGTTTCGTAAGAGTAAGTTCCCAGTTTTGTAAGGTGACAGTTTTACCTAGAGTGCCTAGCTAGAATTTCCATAATGTTTCTTAAATTATTTTCTCTTAGTTGAAATATAGTTCTTAAATAGCTTTTTTTGTTTCTTCTCTTTTCAACGAATAGATGAGAAGAAATTGCCTTCTTCGAAGCCATAGAATGGTTTCGAACCTTTAAGCAAACATACTGTCTCTAGTATACTTGAGGAATGGTGTAAAAATGTTTAAAAAGTTTTGGAATAAGTTTAAAGGAGAAAAAATATTGTTATATAGATTATGCTTTATATGCTTTATGCACCTTTAGTATAATATATAATGAATTATATATAATGAATTACTATAAAATAGTTTGCACTTATTTTCAAATAAATGAGGTCTCAGTGGATAAACTACAAGCTATTTATCCAACCCTGTTAAATTTGATTCAATGAACATTTTTACCTATCACGTAGACCACCGGTTGGGAATCATTGGTATACAGTATCATACACCTTCAATTGCTAAAATCAATAGGAATCAGAATGAATAAAAATTCAATATATTATTACATCATATTATTTATCACATGATGTGGCTACAGATAATGCCAAAATAACTAAAACTAAAAATAAAATAAGAAAACAGTGGTGATTTTCTTCTAATCTCGTCATTGGTGTAGTAATAACTCTATAACTATTTTAAATAAAATAAATACTGTTATTAAAACAATAAATATTTTTGTTTACTTGAAATTTTTATAGTTTGATGCAAAAAATAATTTTTTAAAATGTATATGAATTTATATCTACCATAAACTATAGTAATTCCTATAGGTTTTTAAGAATTCTTGTAATATAAATACATAAATTATTTTAATTATAACCACCGCGTTTAGTGAAGGTCAAGAAATTTTTGGAACAAATTCTGCAATGAACATAGAAAAATATGGTTTTGAGTTTATAAGATATTAATAATTATTAAGCATGAATACATAAAGACTATGTGTTCTACAAATTGTAGATCTATAAAATTAAACTAAATTAAATGTTGCTTGCCTTCATGCATAAATTTAGCATTAAACTTGAAAGATATGAAATGAAAATCTAATCAAAATAAAATCAAATTCAAAATAAGAATGAAAATTAAGTTCAAATATTTATTCTAATTATAAAATATATTTACATAATTTTCTAAAGTGCGATAACATAATCTTTTTAACATTAAAAATGTTTATACAAACAAATTGCACAAGAATTTTTTCATATTTATTTCGTATTTTTAGTGCAGTTATCAAGCATATTATTTTAAACTTGTGTTTCTACTTTGTTCTGAGGACAACTTTAATTTTTAACTTTAATGATATAATAAGTAATGTTTAGGGTTTTTGTTTTATTTCTTTATTTGAAATTAAACTAAATTAAAGAGAGAAAAATATAAAAAAATTAATAATTGGATTACATATTAGAATGTTTTATGTTTGTATATAATTATAAGCTATATACAGCGTTAGTTATTCAGCACTCATAAATTTTAGGAGTATTCAAGGGCAGTTCGTTAATGAGAATGAGTAAAGTTATTAAATGACAATTAATATTAATAAATAATGAATGTCTTAAAAAAGTCAAACTGCAAATGAATCATCTTACTACATAATACACATTTTAAATACTTATTTCTTAATTAGTTCAAATATAGATATAAAAATTAACAAAGTCAAAATACTAATTAACATTATCTAAAACGTGAATAAACGTGAATATAAGTAAAAAACAATTCAAAATAAAAAGTGCTAGGTAACTGCACTGTTAACAAGAAATCCAAATAGAAAATATTTTTGTAGAAGGGCTCTTTATGAATATTTTTAATGTAAAACTTTCTTATCAACTTTGGATTAAACAATTTATTATAGCCAATGTACAAGGGACACAAAGATAAACTGTGAAAGATATTGTATCATTATTAGAATTATACAATTAATTTACAATTAAGTTGGGTTACTTTCAATTTCCAAATTATAAATACAGAAAATAAAAATAAAAAAAAAATAATAAAAATAAAAATAGTTTTAAAAATGATGGATTTATTAAGTCCAAATAAAATTATTCTAATATTTTTGTAACTCTCGAAATAGGTTTACCCCAGTTGTTCCACTTTGAGTTATGTATATCTTTCTTATCTTTATTAGTGCCTTCCCACTTTCTACATAAATGTTGAATATTACATATATTCTAGTTCTTCTAGTCGGAGCATAGGCCGTTAACAATTTCCTTATTAAAAACAAACAAATGTAGAGTATTTTCTAATAATAGCATAACTTTCTGTTTACTATATATTAGTATTAATAAACTTAAATATTTTTAATCCTTAAAATTTAATACCTTATAATAAATTTATAATCAGTTACTATAGACCTAAATAGGAACATGTTAATTATACATACATATAAAATAAATTTTATTACCTTTTATATATTTAATAAATACGTTATTTCTTAAATGAATATTTCCGTAAAACCAAAATTAAATTAAATTAAATTTTTATTAAAAATTATTTTTCTAAATTTTTTGAAATTAACTTATCACTAATATTTATTTCCTACTCTTATATAAAATTTTATTTAATATAATTTAGTATTTTCCTCTCGATAAAAAAACCCATTATTTGAGCGGTAACATGTAATTATATTTATTTTATAATTTCATAGCAAATGGATCTGGCGATGAGTTGTATACGATCACTAGGGAAAAAGCACCTAAACTAGGAAGAAATGCTTGTCGTAAGTTCCACAAGTTCCAAAATTAGTTGAATGTTGCATGTGCTATCCTAACATTGGATAAAAATAATGATAGTATTTTATTTTTATTAAAAACAAAATACATAATAAATAATTCGCATGTTAAAGATTTAATTATATAAATATTGAAAAATTGCAATCTTATGGCAAAGAGAAGAGTAAATTGCCTCCGGCAAAGTTTCCTTATTGATGGATATGACTTGCATGACACATTGTATGACATTGTAGTATTTATAAAAATTATGTTTGGCTTCAATCCGGAGGAAAGAAAAACTGGAAATGATGTTGAAGCATGGAATTATTTCTTTGAAAAAAAAAATATAATTAAATAAAAAAAAATATGTCTGAAGTGTTTTTTTATTTATATGTTAACTTCATAAAAAACATTTATCTGTATGTATGAACTAGTGTTGCACTAATAATATATATACTATAATTATAATTATTGATACTAATCATGTCGTTATATGAATGATATACATATTTTTAACTGTATTTTGTTTTTATCTGTATAAAAAAAATAACATCCAAATAGCATGGAATTTTAACTTTTTGCTCCATATTTTTGAAAGAAACTAGTAATAATAAATAATAATACATTTAGTACAGTAGTAGCTACTTAGTTAATTGTTGTCATTAGTATGTATAATATTAAAGTGAAAAAAATTTGACCCGATCTACTTTTTCAGAAAAATCGGTGTCCTTTGAGAAATCAGTATCCTTTAGCGACGACATACAAGGAATACCAAAATCGCATAGTCCACAACATGCCGGTAATTTAAGTTTAATCACTAAAGTTTATCAATGTCCATTAAAATTTTTGACTTGAACTGATATGAGCATGCCAACTGGTAGTTTAATTTTTCATAACTACTTGTCCAGATGTCAGTATCATTTTTTTGTTGTCCATACATTTTTTGAGAGAGCATATAATTGTCTGATTGTAGTTTAGATTTTGAGAATCAAACACTTTTAATTCAGTAAAAAATAAATTTTTCGTTCATTTTTGTACGCATTTTAAAATCTTTGTGTGAAGCCGATACAAAACCAACCAAACCAGCCATAAAATCATCAACCTTACCTCGTACATCATCACAAGGTAAGTGCACAAAATGAAACTCAATGCTCATTTTCATTAATTTTATTTTAATTGTCTCGATCTGAGTGAAAAAGCACTTTCCTTAATGTGAAAATATAAAAACTGTGAAGATTTAAACAGTGGCAAAGCATCGCATACACATACAAAGCTACACGTGTTTTCACACCATATTCGATATTACTAACAAAATTTTACTATAATTTAAATGTGTTTTAACTAATTTGTTTTCGCTTTTATTGACTCTTTTGTATTGTAAATAAAAAAATTAATTACTTGTAAAATTACTAAAAAAACAAATTATACAAAATTTGTACAGAACGAGATCGCATAAAACCACCACCTCCTCCAAAGCCATTGGTCTTGGCTCAAACACATCAGAGTTATCGTGCAGATATAGCGCTTGCTCCAGAAGTGTATAATCACTTACGTGGTCTACAGAAGAAAGCTAAGGATTTGCGCATGGAAGTGCGTACTCTAAGACGTTTATCACAGGCTCAAGCCGTTGCAGTACGTGAAGATATTAAAGGCGCATTTATGAGAATACGTGCCACATTATTGGCTAGTAGTGGCAGTAATTGGGGACATCCCGGCGATCAGGATACAACACGTATTTCACGCGAAGAGGAACTTTATAAACAGGAAGTTATACGATTAGAAAAGGATTTAAGCGATTTGGAGACATCTGTAGAGAGCCTGCGTGGAGAAGTTATAAATCGTAGAACTCGTGTCAATATGACAGCCGTAGAGGATATGGCACTCGTTTTAAGCAGAGCAAGGTATGTTATTTATAAAATAATTGTATTGAATTAGGGGTTTCATTAATTGACTATTGACTAAACTGTGTCAATATTTGGAAGGCAAAACTAGATCTTTTTAATTTACAAAATCAGTTTTTCTGTTATATATAAATAACAAAAAACAGAAACTCTTAACAATGTATGCAGTGTGTTGGCAAAATAAAATAAGTTGATTTGATAGTGGTTATTATTTTAAAATAATTACAGGAATTAAGTCACAGTGAAACCCATATTGTGTCAATATTTTCAATATTCAATATTGTGGTTTTGAATAATTTTCGTAGAGTCCTTGGAAGTAGGTTTACATCTGTTCAGTGTAGTTCTACCTACATCTCTAGATAATAGACGAATTTTTTTTTTTCTAATGCAATATTTTTTTATGATATTCTATTCGCAACAGAAAAGCTGGCTATCAAATAAAACATTTCTAAAAGCCTTAAGTCTAAAAGTCTTAATATATCTTGGTCTATCCCGTTACGACTATTATCGTAAATGTGGATCTGCAGAGGAGAGGGAAACTGTTTTAATATTGTGTCTCAGTGCTCTCCTTTGGCCAGTAGTAAATTTAATATCTTTGCGATTTTTTTTCTCCTTCAAAATTAGTGATATAACCAATTGTTTTGATTTGTCAGGTTGATTCACTTTAACTTAAATGGTAAAGTGATGCTTCTTGTCTTCGATTTCGTCTGGGAAAACACAGCTTTGGGCCTTTCCTTTGAAAACAACTTATTTTATCAGCGGTATAACAACGGGCATTATTTGTGCTCAAATGGTCTTTGGTGTTCAAGGCCGTCACTCTAACTTAATCTTACCTAATATTGTATTAACAATCTATTTCATTATAAAAAGTAAATAAATTTCGTAAAACGTTAATTTACTTCATTAAGTCTGCTAACTGAATCGGGCATTATCACTAAAGGGTGCTTTCTCAGAGAAGAATGTAGTTCTAGCCCAACGTAAGCAATTTTTAGCATCCAGTCGTGAAATTACTGCAGAAATATAAAATATTCATTCTTTTTGGTTAGTTTATTCTAAAGCTATGATATTGGTCTCAAATTTTTTACTCTTTTCGAATTGTAAAATGCTTAAAGTACTTAGAAATCTAAGTTCTGATTTTGATACTATATACTTGCAAAGCAAAAGTATGAGAAGATGACAAGTCAGGATAAAAAAATTATTTCATTTTTAAATTAAAAATTTAAGTAATTTTTAGTACACGAAGATTATCATAATTTAATTTTTTAATATAGTAAAACTGTTGCTGAACTTAAGATGAGATTTCCCGCTCTATCAAATGGATTGCGTTGTATCATATCGAATGAAATGGAGAAAGTAGTGCGTGAAGAAAAGTTCCTTAAAGAAGAGCCTGATAGACTTGAGTCTGCTCTTAGGCGTTGTAAAAAGTTAACCGGCACTTTAGTAACTCTTAAAAGGTTTTTTCTTTATAACATTTAATTTTAAAATATAAATTTTAAATAAATATAAATTTTATAATGACAACTTAGATTGGCGAGTGTGCAAGAACAACGTCTTCCACCAAATGAGCCACAAATCAATGAGGAACCTCCACGTTCCGCAGAAATCTCCTCAGCCGATAAGGTAAGCTAATTGCTGCAATTTAATTTATTTGTTAATTGATTTGATTGATTAATTCATTGATTAAACAAGGCAACTATTTGATAAAATAATTATTTATGCATATTTAATAACTTTGAGTAAAAGCAGATTTCTTGCTAATATTTCTCTATTAGTTGCTACCAAAAACAATTAATAATAATATATATATACTATATTATCTATATATATATATATGTATTATTTTTTAAGAATTATAATGATTGACTTGCATTCATATTATAACTAATATTATATTAAATATTATATTATATGATAAAACTTCAAACTCTCGTTAGAATTGAAATTTTTACTTTTTCGTTCTCATAATTTCTTTAAATTGTTGAGTAAAAGTAGTTTACATAAATCGAACATTATTTTCCAAATAGTAATGATAATTTGTGTGTAAATAAAGTAATTTTGATTATATTAAGAGGATATCGATTTAAAAATAGTATTATTCATTAACAAAACAAATATGTTTAATTTCGTTATATTTAACTATTATTTGCAATTGGCTAAATTATATATATTTTTTATTTATTTATTTGGTTTACTGATTTATGAGTATAATAGATATAAGTCAAACTGAATGGAAATTTATTTCAAATAATAAAAAAATAATAAATAAGTAAATTTTAGGAGTTTGGAGTTGAGTGTGATTTATAAAGAATTCATAGATAATTAATTAACTTAACTTATCCTAATCCTTAAACAAATAATAGCTCTGGAATAAAGTGAGGTTTCTATAGGAATTGTATTTGAATTTTTATAAACTTTTTCTTTTGTTTACTATATTTCGTATGTTCACTGTAAAATAAAACAAGTAAGAGTGTTTTTCACTGTTGGTATTTTTTTTAGAACATCACATCCCTTTTGCTTTTCAAATTAACTTCCACCACCACGCCCCTTACTTTAAGTTTCCCGATTAAGTATATTCTGTATTGAATTTGTATATGAAATTGTATGGAAATTGAACTTATTTCTAAATTAATTTTTTTTTCATTCCTTTCACTTTTTGTTGGATTTGCAAAATTGTTTTTAAATATTTTTATTTAATTTCTCTATGATAAAACAAAAATTTTCACTGCAATTTATTGATATATATATATACATATATAATACATACACATTAATATTATTATAGAATTAAGAATTTAAAAAAAATTGGGGCGAGAAGTTAAGTAAAGTTTCGCAAAATATTTTTTAAGTGAAAAATATATTTGTATAGCATTTCTTAAAGTATCTAATAACACAGATAGTTGTGTAAGTCTAATGTAGCTATTCTATTAGATTGTAAATCAATTTTTCTCTGATATATATTTGTGTAAGTGTAATGCTTTTGTGAGTACCTCACTGATATTCTATTTTATATACTTTATGAAGAAAATAAAATATAAATAATATATATAAAATATGATATAATATAAAATATATCGATATACATTATAACTGATATTTTAAAAAATTTTAAAGTTGAAGTTTTTTGAGTACATTTAAGTGTAAAATATAAAATTGATAAGATCCCCATAGTTAAGTCACATCAAGAAAAAATAAGGAAACATTGAGCCCTTTTGACTTTCTGATTTTCATTAATCTTTAATAATCGCCATTAACTCATCATTACCCATTATATTTAGTTTTACCTACAAATGCCAATAACAAAAACTGGTATAATTTGCTTTCGTCAGTTAGTAGATATCTTCGGATTATGAATTCGTTGACCACTATTGCAATTAGAAAATCAACCAACCAACATTTTTATCACTATATATGCAGTACTGTCTTCGAGAATTAACCTTCATTGCAATTTGATTCACAATGACTCTACCCTATAAAAGTTGCAAGATTTCTAAACTTTTGTATAAGCAAAATTCAATCTTTCTATTTCATTCCTCACTGTCTCTCCTTTATAAGGAAACAGTTACCTTCTGTAAAATAGATTAATGCAACTGCTTATTACTGATGCGTTCCCAAATTACAGTTCTATACTTATGATGTCATCCTTTTGTTTAGTTATCCAGAGTCAAATACACATCAAAGCTAATTATCGTTATATAGCAAATTCAATCTTTCTATTTCATTCCTCACTGTCTCTCCTTTATAAGGAAACAGTTACCTTCTGTAAAAAAGATTAATGCAACTGCTTATTACTGATGCGTTCCCAAATTACAGTTCTATACTCATGATGTCATCCATTTGTTTAGTTATCCAGAGTCAAATACACATCAAAGCTAATTATCGTTATATAGCACCCAAGTGGAGGGGTTCCTGAACCTTAAAACATAATCAAATGCTTTCCATCCAATAATATTTTACTGGAACTCAAGGAAATATATACAGCCCTTTGAACCTTAACGCATAATAAATGCTTTCCATTCAATAACGTTCTAGTAAAACTCAAGGAAATAGATCCAGCCCTCTTGAAAATTTAAAGTAGAGATCAATTTAATTAAACAAACAAACATTGAAAAAACTCGTAAATTATTTAAAATAACTACGGAAAATTATGGAAGAATGAGTTTTATTTTTTGTGCATCACTAGTTAGTATTTCTTTCTAAAAAGGATGCATGTATATATATATATCACAATATATACATATAGAGAAACTCCTAAACTTAAGATCCCACATCCCAAACTTAATTATTCTTCTACAATCTCGACAAATTAAATATCTCTAAGATGGTAGGAAGGATTAGTTTTCTTCTTGGTGAAACCATACAAAAGCAGTAACAACAATATGATTTATTCCTCCTTGAAAAGCTTTATGAGTCTCTTATATGAGTCCTATTCCATAATAGGACTTGGATTTTCTTTTTCCTCAATAAGATAAACCTAACGCAACTTCTTCCATGCAAATATGCGTTATAGAAAAAAAATTTAGTAAGAATTTTAAGTTTCATTAAATCTAGATACGCTTTTAAGAAATGTTATATATAATTTAAATAAAAAAAAACGATTTATTAATTTTCCGAATAAGAAAACATTAAAAAAATTTCATATTTTATTTATTACGAGTAGTACATCAGTGATTTTTTATAATAATGAATATACAAAAATATTTATTAAAATTCGTGATCCGAAAATGGATATAAGCGTTAATAATAATATTTATTTATTTTTAATCTATTTTTTGTTATATGTCTATTTTAATATAAATGTGAATATTTTTATTATATTTATATTCTGCGAAAAGAATAGATAATTATCAATTATTAGTTTTAAAATTTTATCAACTATCTTTTTAAAAACCTTTAATTTATTTTTTTCATTTTATATAATATTTTTTTTTATTATATTATCCTTACTTGTGAGTTTTTTATATAATATAACAATTACTTACAAATTTATTAAAAAAACTTAAATAAATAAATAATTATTCTTTACATGTTTATTTTAATATAAATGTTAATATTTTTTTTATAATTATTTTAGGCAAAATGAATAGTAATTATCAATAATTTAGTTTTAAAATTTTTCACATTTATTTTTAAAAATTTTTAATTTTATTGTTTCGTGTCATATTTTATTTCTTTTTACAGTTTATTGCAGTTACTTGTGAATTTTTTAAATAAAAATAAATAAATAAATATTTATTTATATATTTGTTTTAATATAAATGTGAATTTTTTTATTATACTTATTTTCGGTGAACTGAATAATTAATTATCGATTACTTAGTAATTTTTAAAAAAATTTTAATTTTATTGTTTTATTTTATATTTTATTTTTTTTTATATTATATTACAATTACTTGTAAATCTTAATTGTAAATTATATTTTTGTTATATGTTTATTTTAATATAAATGGGATATTTTTATTATATTTATTTTCAATTTATTTAATTGTTAATTGTTAACTATCAATTACTTAATTTTAATATATTTTACAGCAATTTTTTAATAAATTTTAATTTTATTATTTCATTTTATTTATTGTTGTTTTTCTGTTTTAATATTGTAATACGATTACTTCTGAATTTTTTTAATGAAATATTTTATTTTTTGTACTTTATTTTTTGAATTAATATAAGTAATTATTTGTAGTTGATCAAATTATTGTTTATATTGTATTCACTGATGTACTGGTAATTATAATTAATAAAAATTATTAAATAAAAAAAATAAAACGAATAAATGAACGATAAAAAATATTTTGGAAACAATTTCATACTAAACTTATTACATTTGTAACAGTAACAATTACTTCTATGTCGTCTCGTTTTCTTCTTCATTTTTTGTATTCCCTAGTTTAACTGGCGATGGAGTTCTAACTTCAAAGAGGCAATCACTGAGTAATAATCCACATTTAAATAGCAATAATTATCGTTTCGATTTCTATACATGCATATATACTTTTATGACTATTTTTCTATCATTAGAATCCTTTTTTAAAGCTTTTCAATCCTTCAAAGCTAATTCCGCAATTTAATTCTAAAAAATATTAATATTAAATATTGATACATACTAACATAAATAGATATAATAAAAATAAATTAATTTAAATAAATAGGTTGATGTTACAAATATGTAAAATAAAATATTTTAAATAAAGCTTGTTATATATATTTATATTTTTCTTTTATATTTTATCCTTTTAACTATATTTTCTTTTAAATTGTTTAATGTTTTTTACTTTTTCTTTTACGATATGTGCAATCTTTGTGTTTCTGTTATTAATTGTTTTCATTACAAATACTTATACGTCCCATCACCTCTGTTGATCTATAATTTCTTCTATATGTTGTTTGGGATCAAAATTATATATATTTTAAATTCGTATTGATGTCGTAAACAAATTCATTTCTAAACGACACACTTGAAATTAAAAAACCACAAATCGGTGTATAGAAAATGTTGATTATTTAATTTCATTTAATTTAATTAAAATTTTTATTTTTTTGTATTATTAGGGGTAATTGTAGGTCAACAAATAGTCCTTAAAAAAAATCAAAAATTAATATATAAGTAAATGATGACTAGGATTTAATTTCACCAAAAATGATATCCTATACCCACCAAGGAAATTTGTGTGTGTCCTTTTTAATTTTTTTACAATTATATGTAATTATCGTCCTAAAGTTTAAAATCTAAACACAATACTTTGTTTAGTATTTTTTGTTTTTATAAATGAGTATTGATTTTAGGATGTATATAATGCTATTTTTAAAATTACTTATTACAAAAGCTTAGGTATAGTTTACAACTCAGCAGGGAAAGAATTTTTCTTATTTAAGTACATATATTATAAAATTATTTTAATGTGTGGATAAATAAAATCAAAAATAGGTATTATAAATATTTAAAATATATATGAATTAGTTTTAAAAGCTGTAATAATTAAATTTATATTAAAGTTTTAACTTCTTGTTATTATTTTGAAGATAAATGAACAATATAACCAGGTAACGGCACCGGCGTAGTCAGAATCCAGTACGAACTACTAATATACATGTTAGATATAGATTTAAAAATATATGATAATAACTGGCGTTATCAGAACCTATAAAAAAAAAGAATTATGTATACGTCACATATAGATTTGTGAAAAATATCATAGAGCCCATATATTCAATACAGTATATAAGACACAGGTTTTTGGTAATATGAATTAAAAAAGATTTTTGAAATTCAAAACTTTATTTTTTTTTCTAAAAAATAAGTAATGTATTTTTTATTCCAAATTGCAAATTCTGATTGTAAAACCAGAATTTTTAATTCACAAAAACTATTTTTTATTTTAAAGACTAGAAAAACATCGTTTTTACTTATCAATATCTGTAGTTTTTAGTTACTGTCAAGTATATATCACGTTTAATTTGTTATTACTCTATGGGAAAACGTACCAAAAATGAAAATACTTTTTTTTAAGTGCTATTGATTATTTTTCGGCGTTACTGGATATATCCATCATTGAAGGTAATAACATAGCAAGAAATGTTACTTTATTGGTTCATATATCTCTCGTTTAATATAATTCACAAATATAAACGAATTATTAATCAATTAGCAGTTACAAAGTAATTCATGTTTGAGACTTCGGTTATTTGGATATAGCTCATTTGATAGAACCAATTATTTTGTCATTTTAGAGACTAAAATTGATCTATAATTATATTTTGGGCTTAAAGGAATTGAATAAATCTTTTCACAGCAACCAGCTCAAGAGCGGTATATACAATTTACATTTGGAAGTTTTCAAAAATATCATAAATCCACAGAAACAAGATTAAAGTATCTAGAAATATAATAGTTTATGGACTGCGAGTTTATGTTATGGACTAAAGAATGTCTTAGATCCACATTTATAGATCGTCTCAACATAAATATCAGTGAAATATTTCCGTTCGGTAAAGCGATAATATTTCCGTTCGGTAAAATTGTGAAGAATGTGGAATCTCCATAAACGTTATCAGTATTAGACATTTCTCGTAGTATTAATCATTAATTAATCGTAGTATAAATATTTTAGAGTTATACATAATCACGTTATTAATTTAAAAATATTTAAAATATTTTTTTATATTTTATATATAGGTAAATATTAAAATATAATGAAGGTATCTATAATTTTTTAGTTACTTCTGGATTTGTTTGTCGCTAAGAAGAGTATCAGCTAAAAAATTTGTATTGGAAAACAATAGTTATAATATATTAATTTCAGACTTAGTTCGAAACATGAAACATTAAAAAAATTATTTTTTTAAAATAGTATTAATTTGGATGAAATTTTTTAGATGTTCTTCTTATTAAATTACACGCTTTCTTTAATAAATAAAAAATAAACTCCTAAACGAGGTATGTCTCTACATTTCTCAAGATCATCTCTTTTGATATCGAAATATGATGAGAGTTAACTAATTTATTAATGAGTTAACATCAGCAGATAAAATGTTCTGGATTTAAAACATATATTTATATATAAGTATAGATATATATATATAAAGATATATGTATATCGATATATAGATATAAATGCGATATATATACATAAATTTATTAATAAGTTAACAGTTGAAATACTCTGGACTTAAAGCATATATATTGTGGTGTTCAGTGTCTTTCTGTTGGAAAATCAATTTGGCATATTTCAACGAAAACCATTTTTTATCTTTACTTAAAATCTCGGTTAATATTTTCCTAAAAGCAGTGTTGAAAGCCTTTTTCTGATTACTTTTTAATCTCCAAATAAAAGAAATTATAATTATTTCCGATTTATAATACTGATATTATAATCTACAAATATTAAACTATAAATATATTATAAAAAGACAAAAATATTTTCTAGTGTACAGTATAGTATATCCCTATTTGGTATATGTAGAGTTTTAATTAACATAAAGGAATCAACAAGCAAACATTTTAGGTCGACTGAATGATATAAGCCCTCCTTCAGAAAGTTCAAATGTTTTTATTAAATATAGTAAAAGTAGCAGTTTTAAAGCAAAGCTTACTTTTAATAAAACTCATGGGGTTGAATTAGATAATTTTTAATTATCTTTTTAAATAGTATTAGCGACCTATTGTACTACCTATGATATATATGACATTAATAAATAATTGACGGAGCCTTGATATTCAAGAACTTAGCTTAAATATCCCTGTTATCTTTCATCTTTCTTTACTTTTTCATAATCTTTCGTTATAAAATTTATCTTATTCTCATCTATTAGCAAATTTTTAAGACAGAATTGCAGAAATTATTTTCAATATGTTAGTCTTATGGTTTACTAATAGTTAATCCATATAGTCTTTAAATTTATATATAATTTATGGTCTATCTCCTTTAGATGCGTTTATCTAAATGCAATATAGCTGTGCGGCTATCTTTTAAAATATATTAATATATTAGGTTTTTGAGTTTTTCTTGAAGTCTCAATTCATTATGTTCTGACACATCGGTTCTTGTAGAACGTATAAAATAAAATCTATTACTTTTAATAAGAGGGTCACTCTCTTATATTATAACTTATGTTACTGTGTGAAACAAATGAACTATTGGTACTAAATTTTTAGAGTTATTAAATTTTGGATTTTTTTTACTAATAAACAATAAAACCAAATAAATACTTTAATTAAATAACGCAAATATAAAAAAATAATACAGCATTTTTGTTACAAGGTGTCATATATAAATTTTTCTTATTAAATATTTTATGAAATTAATTTTAAAATATAAATTCAAACTTAAGAGGGTAAAATGTAATTTTAAAATATTTGTATTTCATAGATAATTCCATTTAATATTAAAATATTACAATAGTTCAGGTTTAAGTGGGTATAGGGTATAAAAATTCGGCTACGGTCGAAAATAACACTCTTACTAGTTTACTTTACAGCTCAAAAGAATTTAAATTTTTTTGAAATTTATCAAAAATATTATATATGCAATTTGAAAACAGAAATTTTTTTATATAAAATTATAACAGTTTCCGTTTAATTGATGTATGAATGTATGAATATGAAATAAATATTTTTTAATTCTGGTTTATGTGAATATATTTTTATTAAAATTTAAAAATATATATATATATCTGGCAATTATATCAATAATATTGGTATTACATAATAATAATGAATAATTATTATTTTATTATTTAACTGATTTAATAATTTTTTACATCAATGAAACGAAAACTTTCTTAATTCTTTAATAATTTATTTTAACATAATAATAAAATTATAATAATATTATAACAAAATTTAAAGCCAAATTTTCTCTCACAAAATTTGTTAGTAAAGTTACCCCTACGAAATTTTTACTTGAGTCTTTAGAAAGGTTCAGTTTTAAATTTTTTAATTTTTGTTTAATTTTTGATTTAAAATATATTTTTTAATTACATTTTAAATTTAAGTTATTCGGCTTTGCATGAAATATTCGTTAGAAGCTTCTTATTGTGTATTTTTCATGGATTTAGTATATTTCGAACTTATGTAGCATTCGTATTTATTAATGTTTCTCTACTTTATCTGTATAAATAAATACATAAATAATATACATAAACAATAAATAACCTTTAAAATACTAAATACTAACCTTTGTTCATAAAACTGTTTATATTTTTAAAGTATTTTTGACTATGGTTGTTAACTTGATTTTAGGTAATATAAATTACCGTTTATAATAACTTTTGTATCTCTATATACTCATATATACTTTATATAAATCTCTTTGAAATGTTTTTGTTATTCGATGAACTTAATTACTATAATCGATAAACGTTTTCACTTGCATTGATATAAAGCAATGATGGCATTTAAATTTTCTATTGAATGTTGTTTTTATCTAAGCGTTTCGAATGAGTTTAATTTTATATTTATAATTAATACACTAAATAATTATATACTAGCCAATCCCAACTCCCAGGATGGGGTCGTTCACTGTCAGCGGGGGACCCCCACCCGAAAACGCACTCGATGCTTTGCTAGATGAATTACAGACATTCTCAAAGCCACTAATACAAAACAATGAGGTCAGTTTAAACCAATTTAGCTACTATAAATAATCAAATTATCTAATATTTTCAATTAATTAAATATATTTTATAGATACAGATACGTCCTGACGATTCTGCATCTGATGAAAGTGCACAAGGTGTACAAAGTACAGTAACTACTCAAATGTCCCAAGCAAGACTTTACATACAAAATGACACAAATCTTCAACAACTCCAACAGCTCCAACCACAAATACAACAAATACAACAACTTCAACAACAGCAACAATTGCAACAAGCACAACAGCTGCCAATAGGAATTGTCGGCACCAACAACATACAAAATCGTATCTTAAGCAACAGTAACAATAGCAACAACACCGTAACTTACTTGCAACACTCGAATGTGGGCAGTTTGCGTCGCTTACACTCCTACACCAGTGGCTCCGATGCTGACATCTCGCCTACTCAAAATAACAGATCAGTCGGCAAGCCACCAGTGCCAGAACGCAATGCAGAGCTCATATCTAAAGTAGGAAATAAACGCATACCACCACCACCACCCCCACGTACCAGCTCCCGCAGTCCACTGGCAAGTCCCACTAGCGCAAATGCACCACAACAGCTTGCAATTTTGAGCGAATCTGACAGTTCCATCAAGGAAAGCATTGCTGAGTGCAATAGCGGAAATTCAAGCGGCAACGAATCTGGCAACGATCACGTACAGCGACAGGCAGCACTTGAGAAACGCCACCAGGAATTATTGAAAAAACAAAAACAATTACAAGAACAATATCAACGCTTGCAGCAAATGAGTAAAATTTCTGGTGTTGAGGTGGCACCAAATGCAGGTGGTACTGATGCCAATGGTGCTGAAGTATTACAAAAAATGGGCAGCGAAACGAACTTACAATACAATAACACAGATTTATCTATAACCACAAATGTAGGCATTGAACAGAATGTGAATTCCATAGACAATGGCGTGGCAGTGGAGAAATTACAAAGTAAAATCATAATTCGGCAATCGAAAGAGGTGACAGGCAACGCTGATGCACAACTTGCAACTGGCGGCACCACAACAAAACAAGTCTACGAGACTGAGATACTTTAACGAAAATCGGTGCTGACGTGGCTTGAAACCGAAATCGATATTTAAGCGATATTATCGATATTAAATGATAATAAATCATCTTCTTTCATACATAACTGCGAAACAGGACTAGAGACTCTAGTGAATTATAAACCCAGTTACCATATTTACAGCAAATACAGTAATTATATTTATATACAATGCGATTTATGCATACCTACATATAATGCACAATTTTATAAAAGTATTTGAAGCGATTTTTACTGTACTCTCATAAATTTTTTCATTATTTGGACGTTTCACTTGCACCCCAAGGTCCGCATATATCCTTTATTAAATAGCGACGAATGTAATTATGCAATCACAAGGACACATTTGATAAGATTATTTTTAAGATACACAATTTTTTTTAAAGAATTCACATGCGTTAGTGTTTAGACAATTCACATGATAAAAAATTTGAGAGTTATACGGTTTTTGCGTATGTATGTATAAATATAAAAGTTGGTAATTCAATGAAGATATCCTAGCAAAAGGTACTAAAAACAAATCAATTTTATGAAATCTCATATCTCATATTAATGAGAATAAGTAAACAATTCTCAGAACCTCTAGAAAGTGGACATTGAATTGACATTAAGTATATAAATTGGACATACTTTTTTTATAACATCTCTTAGTGGATATGATTAGTACTTAATCCAAAAATCTTAGCTATCCATTTTCCTTCTTTATTAAACCGTTTACGTTAATAATTAATTCCGATTTTAGGAGTGTTGTACGAGACACCTTAAATAAAGAAAATAATTTTAAAAAAGACTTAATATAATTATTTCCGACTTTGGGAGTGTTTTTCGAGATACATTTAAAGAAGAAAATAATTTTATAAAGGGTATAATATATGCACAACATTTAAAAGCTACAGTACTTCTATATCACTGACCAATATAAATATTGTAACTATGAAATATCTTTATTAACTTATAGACTTTGTAGTAAACAAAGAAAGTAAATGCTAATTTTTACTATTTAAAGCAATTTAAAAAAAAAGATATAATAGTATAATATAGCATATATAAGACAATAGTTAATTGAATTACATTTCTTCTATCAACCAATCAATCAATCCAGTACGTTTCCAGGGAAACATTGGGCCATAACGAACTTTTTCCAACTATCACGATTTTTTGCCAGGGTTTTAATTTCTCCAAAGGTTTTTCCGCTTGCTTGGATTTCTTTCTCTAGTGTTCGCTTCCACGTTTGCTTGGGTCTACCAGGTCTTCTGCTTCCTTGAGGATTCCATGTTAATGTTTGTTTGCAGATTTTATTTGGTGCCTTCCTTAAAGGGTGCCTGATCCATTGCCATTTACGCTTTTTGATTTCGTTTGCTATAGTTCGGAATTTCTAATAGTGCGGGGAAACCAAATTTTTACACTTCTTCTATAATGTATGATAATTTAATGATATCCAATTGAACTAGTACTTAACTTATGTAGAAGAAGTTCGGAAAGTTTCCTTCATACATAAACATGCTTGTCTTCCTTAACAGTTATACAGAAAGAACCAAAATCACAATGACTATCGCTTAACAGTTTTACTAAATCGTTAATATTTATTTATTTCCAGCTTGAGGTGTATTATATTTAGAAAGAAATAGATATAAATAGATGAATAATAATGAAAACAACAATTTTATTACTTAATAAATCGAATTTTTTGACGACCATACAGCTCATTCAAATATCGTCGAATAATCACTATTAGTAGTCTTTGGAAAAATATATTTCCCAAATGATTTCATTTTAGTTCAATATCAATTTTACCATTATTATTTAATGTAATGAAACTTTATTAAAAGTAAGCTTCTATAAACGGACATTTATTTACACTTTGCAGTGTTATCTCTAGTACTAATTTTGCTTGCAAAGTACATCCTTTTAAACCCACAGTTTTCTTAGTCGGAGAGAATTACTAGTTCTGCTTATTTAAGTTAATTTTTATTGTACATCCCTCCATGCATATCCTCATCTATTTATACATAGCATATTCATTTCAGCTATTTAAAATACACTTTTTGTCATGTTATAAATACTTCAAAGGTCCTCAAAAATTTCTTCAAAATTAGTTGTCCATCTTAAAGTTGATACTGCGTTTCATAATATTATGAAAATTGCATATTAAATAAAAATAATCTAGAGTACTCTTACTTAAATATTATAAAGGAATATGATCTTGGTTTTAAAATTGCTTACATACTGTTTAACTATCTCGTAGTTAAAACTTTATCAACTATGTAGTTGAGAAAGGGCATTATTTTTGTAAGATATAAGTTTGGGATCTGTTCCAGACTCACTCGTTTCTAGACTATCATAATTCGATTTACGCATTTGGAAAGAAAGTATTCAATTGTTTCTTCTGCTTTTTCTTCCTTGCCACTTCTGCATTTCTGATTGATGTTGACCCAATTGTTAGACATAGGTGCCCACTGACTAATCAACACCATTACAAAGTTGGTCAAGGTATAAATATAAAAATTTATAAGTTTATAAACTGAATCATATTTAATTATCTAATTGAGGTAATTAAGTTTACATTCGGTTATATGTTCTTTTTTTAGTGTAATCTTTGTTATAAACTATTTTTATCAAAAATATTCTTGTGCTGGGAAGCTTTTTGCTATAAACTTTAAAGTAATTTCATGCTAACTACTGTTAAAGTGAAAGATATAAATTTAATATATTATTTAGAAATGATTGTTATAAGAAAACAATTTTCCTTCATGGGTCATAAAGATTGCAGACTACCTTTGCTCTTTGCAGAGTTTTACTGTATTATATTCATAACATTTATTTGCTGCCTTCTTAATTGGGCCTTGATTTCTTCAAGCCCCTGAGAAAAAAATCTTTGATTGTCTGTAACCAATATAATAAACAATCTTCAATCGCTTTAAAGTCTAAATGCTTTACCATTTTAATTTATGCATTCGTATCGCATACCGCAAATATTAACTCTCAAATAAATGCACTAGAAAAATAATTTTGTTCAGTATTATTATTATATATTTATGTTAAAGCATTATAAAAGTTTTAAGAAGAAACAATTTAAATATAAAACAAGTGTAATGGAAAATAAAAACACACTACACCTTAAGCTTAGAATCTGTAGAACTGCGTAAAAAAAACCCTTAGCAAAAATTAGTTTTACACAAAACACAGAAATTGCAGTATTTTTTATTATATAAAATGAAAAATGTAGTGAAATTTTATTATATAACATAAAATCAAATAATATATTTTTACATCCACACATACATTAAAAAACAATTCGATAAGATTAGAATCAATTGCGATTTAAATAGCATAGGATCCTCCAGAAAATACTGCATTTTCTTATCAATTCAGCTGCATTAGGGCCGAAAAGGCCTGCATAGGAAACGGAAACTTATGAAACATAACAAAACTAGTTGCAAAGCTTTTTAGAGCAAAATATATATGTATATGTAAGACAATGCTTATGAATATAGACGTTTTTGGATAGCTTTTGAAGTGAAGGCGCTCAATAAGAAATTAGATATCTCCTAGCTACAAAGGAGTTTCGATAAATTCGTAAAAAATCATAAAATCGTTTTAGGTGTAGTGTAGTCAAAGAGTAAAATAAAATATAAAAATATAAAAAGTAAAAATCATAAATAGTTTTAAATGTACCAAAAAGTATTATTTACAAAATATGTATTATCAATAAATAATTAAAACGAAAAAATAGTTACGAGTATTTCATAAAATTTTTATTATTATTATTATTACGATATTATTACTTGAACACAGAAAGTGAGACTGATAGTTCTATATATGTATCTCATGCAAAAAATACATATTTGAATATATTTTAAATTGTTTATTGCTCATGAAAATAATTTTAATAATTAGAATTTGTTACTTTTATGATAGTTATTTTTTAAATAATTGTTTTACTGTGTTAGATAAATTTTATGAATATTGCTTATTAGCACCAAAAATAATATTTTACATATATTAAAACACATATATTATATATTAGTATAAAACACACAAATTCAGTAATTACAAAAAATTAAAAAATATAACAATCCTCTCTCTCTCTCTCTCTCTCTGTAACTCTCTATATCTGTCTCTCCTATATGACAGCACAACCCTGTGCTTAAAATATAAACTTTTTGTTATTTTGTTATTTAAAACGAATTATAAGAAAGTTATATTCAAAAACTATACAGCAAGAAATTTATAAAATTATTAACAACAATTATTTAAATGATTAAAATTTATTTAAAAAGGAACTTAGCTCAAAAATGAGAGAAAATCAAAAAACAAATAAAATTTAAACGAATTTTCGTCTCGATCACATGCAACGAAAAACGAAAAGTATTAAAAAAATTAGAAAATATAATAATAATACAATTAAATTAAATAAATAAAAACAAAGTATTCCATTACATGTATGTATATGTGTCTGTGTGTACGTTGAAATACCATTACCATTACATTACAACCCATAACATAAATTGCATTACAGTGATTAAGTAATTAAATGTTACATGTTAAATGTCTTAACAATTCAATAAATATTGTGATCGTGTTCAAAATGTCGTAAAATTAACAAAAAAAATAATTTTATAATAACTATGAAATCCAAAAATAGCAAAAAAACAAAAATATAAGAAAATGTATAACACACATTCTATTAATTAATAGAGTAATGTGTAGGAGTAATTACACCCCAGTGTGTAATATTTAGATTTATAACATGTATTTGGCTAAAAGCACTAAAGTAATTATTACAAATTGAATACATCATATGGAATTTTCATTTATGTTATTTTTTCTTAATAAATTAAAACAATAAATGCAAAAGTATATATCAATAAATATCACTCATGGCAAAGAAAACTGATATTAAATATTATATCTCTGTTTTGTAATAGCAAAAAAATTATGGTCGCAGCTGCCGCTTAGCTCCCTGAAGAGTCCATAACTGGTATTTTATTATTTAATATTTTCGTAAATAACTTTCGTCTGTCATCCTCAACTTCTAGTGGAGTATAGGGCCTTGAACGTGTAAAACGACCGCAAATAGCTTCAACTTGTGCATAATACTAACATTAGCCATTATTACTACTGGCCTGGTGCTAGATTTAGGGCACATAAGGTGTTGCTGTAAGACACAAGCAGTTTGGGTACTGTAATTACAATAATAGTGGCGATATTTATGTAAGAGCTACGAAAAAAGGTATCTGAATTGTTTCTTTTTAAATATTTTTAATTCTGTTCGATAAAACAAAAAGTTATTATTTTGTTTAAATTGTACAATTCAAAATTGTTAGATACTGACTAGGACTAGGATATCGTGACGAGATGTTTTTTTTTAAGGTTCACATCATTTGATAAAAACCACGGGTGTCGAATTTCTTAAAACGGTACTACATTCCCAGATACGAGAAAAATAAGGGTGCTAAAGCTTTTTTGATTCAAATTATTGACAATAAATTGATTTCAATTTTAAGTAAAACTCCTTAATATTGAACTTTTCTGTTAAAAAAAAAACTCAAAAAAATATACGCAATCATAGCATATTAAGGTTGTAGTCTTAAAAACTTC